GTGCATTATTACAAATATGAGAATGGCACTTGCACTATCAAATTATTGTATGTAGATGACATGTTGAACTTTTGCTCAAATATTCCTATTTCAATGTTGTGATAATGATGTTCTGTGAGAAATTTTATATGAAAGATATGGATGAAGTTAGTGTTATGCTTGAGATATAGATAACTAGGATAAAAATGGGATTTTCTCAAAATCAATCTGGTTATATAGAAAATATATTGAAGAAAGAAAATTAATATGAACGTAAGCTTGTATGGACGCCTTATGACGCTAGTGTAAAAAATTTCAAGAACATCGGAGACAGTGTAAAACAATATGAATATGCTAGCATAATTGGCAATCTGCTGACTCGCTACGACATCACACCAAACTGCGATCAAGTGTAATCACATAATGGAAATGCAGTATAGTGGGATCAAGTAATAAATGTCAACCCGAGGCCAAGATGTATTGCCTACTCCATGATTATCTATTACCTAGCGGGGAAAGTTGAGTGAGAATGAGTTTAAACTAAAGTAGATAGAAAGAAGTAACTTGTTCGGTTTTCTGAAGCAAGAGAAGAGTCACTCGGGAATGAGTCCTCCTAGCTCCTTTGTTAGATTCAAGTTGTAATTCCCTTTAGTTGATTCACTGTTGATTAAACTGCTGAAAATCTGAAAATAACTTGGAATCTCGTAAGCTGACCAAGCCCTCTTAGACAGAATACCCGCCAGGCGACTAGCCTTCACTAGGATAGACTGCTAAGGCGATTCACACAGATCTCCTCTACTTGGAATAAATTCAGGTACAAAGCAGTGAATTGACTGACTCTCGTACAATCAATTCTCTTACCGATTGAATAAGCTATAACAACCTAATCAGATTCTATCTATCACAGATTGAAGCAGAAATCAAGAGAAATTGATCAGGATTCAATTGACTCAATAAACACACTTCAATAGATTAAAACCAATCAGTATATCATCCCAAAAGTCATTACAAGCAAGATCCCTAAAACATGGAACGAGGATTCTTCATACCCAAGTAAGAGAAAGGTCTACTCCATAGAGAGAGAGGAAAACAGAAATCAAAGTAGTCATACTCATAATGATGGGAATAATATGCTCTAGGATGTCAATCTTCACTCCTAGAGATGCAATATGGGTTTCAATGGTGAGAAATCCACTCCAAATAGCACCTAGGGTTTGTTCTTTGTCACTTTCTCTCTCTATAACTCTGATTTTGCTCCAAAAAGTCGAATCCACCTCCTTTGGCTAGAATCCGTCTTTTTAACCCGACACTGGGCAACATAGACTTAACCCGTTCTTTGTCACTTTCTACCTTCTGTTCACCGACCAACATAGACTTAACTCAACCACTCATTCAAAACATTCACCTTATGCATAAAATTCAAGACATCAAAATCAAGACCGAGCATCTAGATCCTCACCAGGGTATAGAATATGAAAAATGAATCACTCACTCTCGACCAATGGGGTCAGGAAAAAATTTGATGCAAGATGTGTGCATACTCATACTCTCAATCCCTAACGTCAATTCACCATGACGGCAACCTTTAGATGTTAGAGTTCACATATCGGATGTCACCACTTAACTACTCACGAGGTCTTAGACACAGGTTCAGATGGAGGCTTAGCATCTTGGACATAGGGAAAAAGCCTTTTAGGTGGTGGAAGAATTCATAAAACAACGTTCCACAGTCCAAAAATAAACACAAAACATTTAGTCAAACCATTTACTTCCTCTCTGCTATTATGCATTAATTGTTCTTTAGAGCACAAGAGTGAAGGAGGTAACAACATGTCAGTATTTCCAAGTCGGGTCTGTCAAGAAACACTATTTTATGAGCATGGTTAAGATTTTTGCGGTAGCTTGCTTTTTGCTTTCATTTGTTTCTTTTTTTTTTTGTTCTTTTTTTTATTTTCTTGAGAGAACCACCATTTATGCAATTTCTTTTATTTTTGCAAGCACATGCCCAATTTTTAAGAACTACCTCTAACCCTATCTTATTTCCAGCAGAAAACATACAAAAACCACTTTGTGGAACCTCAAAGATATGCATAAGAGTGATTTTTCATTGTAGACCGAAAGAAAGAAAGTCACACGGCTCAAAGGGGCTGACTAAGGGTATGACACACCAGGACAGTCAATTTGGTCGTGGGCTAATCATATGCCTCCATCATCCTAACTAGTGGCAACGTGAATGATAAACACCATGTAAGAGGGATCTATCGCAAAAGAAAGAAACGAGTAGGCTCAAATCTCACATGGATACCTATATGCTCTATCTCTCATTCTGATTCCCGAAACTATATATATAAGTGACTATAGCAAATGAGTGATCAATCTAAGTTGCAGTTGGTAAGCAAACAGTTGAAAAATTGAACTCCTACACAACTCTACTGCACGTCTCAGTCATCATTATAGGTTGTCTTAGTCACAAACAAGTTATCATGCATCAATGGTAACACCCAATCGATTAACCACATAAAACCATAGTTCCCATATGAACATGCAAACATCAGTACTTGGAGCCCTCAAATCTCGAGATTTGGACAGTGGACTAGGCTCCAAGCACCCAAACATAAGTTCCAATAAGCACAAAGAACTCTCCCACACTTAACTTTGACATTGCCATCAATGAAGCAGAGAGAAGGGAAACGATGTACAAGGAAGTGACAATCGGAGGCGACGACTAGAGAGTGGACCAGTTAGTAACAAGAGACTGGAGGGGGACCAGTCCATAGCCAGAGAGCTAGAGTGATCAAAACACACTGGGCGATAGAGAAAACATACCATTGTTCCATGTGCACGATCCAAAAGAGAAACAAAGGAAAAGAGAAACCGACAACAGAGTTAGTCTATAAAGAAAGGAAAATACATAATCCAGCATCCCATGTGGGATAAGTCGGAGCACACCTAATACTCATCACATCCATCGCCAGTAGGAGGTGGGTAGTTATCCTCATGGCCCGCGGATGCCTCCCAAGGGTATTGTACACCAACAAAGTCCATGCCAAAGCAGTGCATCCTGTAGTGCTAGCCTGAAATGATACGGCGACGACCATCCCGCTCACAGTCGAGGCGGCGATGGTGGTCAGCTTGCGTGCGAGGATCTGATCGTTTTGTCGAGCGTTGGCCGCCAGCTAATCAGCAATCGAGGCAAAGGAGGTGGCATAAAGCCCGAAAAAAGAGTTGGATGGGTCAACTGCAGAGGTGCTGACAAGTGGCTGGGTGCCGTAGACCGGATGATGAGGCCCACGGCGAGCTCTAGTGTCATTCGCCTCAGGGGGGTTAGCCACATCTAAAACAGGGCAGGAGGACGAGGAAGCCCTGACATGCCATGACACAACACAAAACTGCGACCAAGTATAATCACAGAGTGGAAATGCATAATATTGGTTAAGTCTAATTATCGACCCGAGCTCTAGATCTAATGGCTATTCAGTGAACTCCTATTATCTAGCAGGACTAAGAGAGTGTAGTGATTTCTGGACTCTCGGCTAAAGTTATCCAGACCCTCTTGGTTCGAATACCTGGCGGGCGACTAACCTCCACCGGCATACACTAACCAAGGTTAAACACGCGAAACTTCAACTACTAGCCTTTTTTCCAGTACGAAGCAGTGAATCGACTTCTCAGCTAAAGCATTCGATTCACCACTTTCAATTAAAGGTTGCTCTTTGAACCTATACAGACACTATCGTTCTAGGTTAAAGCCGGAACTACACAGGTTTGATTAGGACACATGTAATTCTAAATAATTCCTCAATTGAATTTAAGAATCAATAATTCATAACATGGGTTTCATACAATCATTCCTTACATACACAGCTAGGGTTCTTCATACCCAGATGAAATAGAAAATTACTCAATGGAGAGATGTGAGAACATCATGCTCGGAGTAGACATCATCAGAACAACAATGGACAACTGCTCCTAGCTGCTAATCAGTACTCCAAACTCTTCGGATCGCTCCAATCCTTGTCCTTGGGTTTTGCTTCGTCACTCTCTCTCTACGGTCTTTTCTCTACCTTTGGAAGTCCAAAAATCTGGATCCTTTGCAAATTTCCCGAGCAGACTTTAAATATGCTGAGAATTCGTGAGTTACGGCCTAAGTTACGGCAGTAACCTTGCTCGCTTGCCCATAACTTCCCAGAAATGGCGTCGCTGTGGCACTCCCTAAACCGAGAGTTATAGCTTCCTTGGGGGAGTTACGGTCTCAACCATAACTTGAATAGGGAGACCGTAATGCCAAAAACGTCTAAGGAACTGTTGTCTTTGGCTAACCAGGAGTTACGAGCGCAGAGGATGAGTTACGCCCAAAATCGTAACTTGGAAGATCTGCCCGTAACTCTAAAAAGTCTCCTGGAACTTTGCATTCATCACTCGCCAGTTACAGATCCTGGAGGGAAGTTACAGGCTAGACCATAACTTGCACGGTCTGGCCATAACTCCTAGTTTCTCACTGCTTACTCGCTCCAGAATGTCCCAAAACTTTGCTCTTTCGCGCCCATTCACGTTAGGGGTCCATAGCGTAAAATAGGCCACGAGAGCGATAGACCAAGCTCAAACGATCGATAAATAATGGGAAAAACATGTTCGACTATGGAGTTGTCAATCCCCTTGATCCACGTTAGGGGTCCATCGCGGGCAATTAAGAGCTGTTGCTAGAGAGTCGTTTCGCCAGGGGGAGTACGTGCCCGGTCTAAGGTCATGCCGATGATATCAACCTTAAAGTAGTAGGCCAAAGCAGTGATCACGGGTCCATATGCAAGAGGGCGACCGTGAGTAGCAGCCTTGGCAAATGTCCTAGCAAGGACAAATCCCAGCTCCATGTTGTCTTTCGTCTGGCCCATCGAGTGCCTGAAGTACAACGTTCGAAGGGTGATGCAACTGGCGGAGCCCCGACTGGGTGTGTAGCACTGGTTTAGCAATTGAACAAGCCAAAAAACACTGAAAGTAGCTAGTCATGACATATGGAAGTAACTTTACCTGTTACGACACTCCCGACGTTGGATCATAGGGAGATCCGGGTTGCCTGGCATATCACATATGCAATACCTTAAAATAGGAAAAGACCAAAAATCAAACCAAGAGACCGCGGGTTAATTAAGGATCAACCCTGCAAACGGGTAAGAAGTGCAATCGTAAAAACAGAAAAAAATAAACGAGGAAAAACTAAACTCACACACAAACATTGTCCGGACTGAAGCCTCTACTTTCATGCTTATACTCGAATATGAAAAAATAGTCCTCGGCACCAACATTACCAAGTTTTATGTAGTCATCCAAAGAGTGAACGGTGCACTTGCCCTCGACGGTGCAGATGCCCACGATCTGCCAGCGGTCGGAAAGAAAGACCTCTTTTTTGCCATGGAACTTATGAACCCCTTGGAAAGTCTCATCGGGGCGATAATACCGCCTGACATGGACATGGACATTGTTTACGGAGTAGAAATCGATGCCCTCGATCCTGGCAAGGAAGGGGTGCTCATCCCCAGTTGCATTAGGTCTAATAAGCACACAGTCGCCCATTGGGAATGAGACATGGAAACGTATATAACATGCAAAGACATTATGAAATTACTTGGCCGTGGAGATAAAAAGCTAGAAAGAAGAATGGAAAGTCACAAGGGAGAGTTTCTTTCTACCTTTGTAGGTGGTGGCTACTTCCATACGTCATGCCTGAAGTACAACGTTCGGAGGGTGATGCACCACTTCGGACGGAGGAGGCTAGCCCTCGTCTGGATAGCCGTAAACCCCTCACCTAGCGCCTAGGGGAGGCAAAAATTCTCAAAGTGTGCTTGGTTCTGGAATGAAGTGCGATCGGGCTCCTCAAGGGACAGGCGACACCCGTGAGGTGGGTTGAGGTCAAATGCAGAGGCCAAATCCCAGTAGCTGAGGGAATTCTCTTTCCCACCAAGAGTGAACTAGATGGCATCGGCGTGCTCAGCCGCCAGCTGCCGGGCATGGTAGAAGGTGGAGTAGAAACCCCAGACCTACTCCAGATATGTCGGCTCAGCGACGCAGAGGAGGCGCCGCCAGGAGTGTGTGCGAATAGAATCCTCCATTTCCTCGCGAGCGTGGAGTGCCACAAAGAACTCCAAGTCGAGGTGGAGATGCTCAAGTATGAGATGGTTGCGGATCGACTGCGTGCGCAGTTGCTGCTCGGGAGTGAATATGCCCAGGTAGTCCTCCATTATCCTGCAATCAAACAGAAAGCGCAAGTGCCATACATAGGAACAGGTCATGACACAAGAACACGTTAACCGCACTTGGAGCCCTCAAATCGAACAATTTGGGCAGTGGACTAGGCTCCATGTGGGACATGCATTCACAATCGTAGTTATTATCCAACATTCACATATCAATCCAACTTGCAGTTAACCATCCAACCATTAAGCGGCAAAATTTTCCTAGAATCTTAGCATGCAAGTAGTAGGCCGACTAAAATAGCCCAAGGACAACATCAATTCAAGATATAAAATCCATCGACCTACCAATTTCAACAAATTAAGCTCAAATCCCCAAATTTCTCACCTAGATTCCTAGATATCAAGGCTCCAAAATTAGATAAGATAAGAAGAGAAACACACCTGGAGACTGAAGTATATACCATGGGAAAGGCGAGGAGAAGGAAAAACACCAAGAGTGCGGTGGTGGTCGCGGTTTTTGAGTTGGAGGTCGAAAGAGGAAGTTATGTACAAAAAACCGCCGAAAAAGAGGGGAGGGCCAAATTTCCGGCGAGAGGAGGGAGAAACAAGGCTAAAAAGGGGATTTTTGGAGAGAGAACACGTTCAAATTTCGAAATTTATAGGGGAAGAGCAGAACATGGTCAAGAACACGGGCGTGTCCCGCCCGTGTTTTGATTACGAGTGTTTTCTCTAGATAGGGGAGAAGACGAGCACGAGGGGAAGGAAACACGAGTCCGTTTCTCAACCCCCGCGACCGTGCTTTTTATGCCGACCGCATGCTAGGAGAGTAAGAGGGACACGGGCAAAGAACACGACCTTTTTTATAATATCGAGCCTGCTCTGCAAATTTTGAAAGCCCTTTTTTCACACAACCAAACTCCATCCGTGCCCCGGCTCAAAAAACACACAACCACAGACAAAAGCATTTTGCCCAGGGTCACAAAATAGGTTTAAGAAAAACTCCAGACAAACTCAATGACTCAAAATCCAGAAATCAAAATAAAAAAGAGAAATAAATGCAAACCATGGTGGGTTTGCCTCCCCACAAGCACTTCTTTATCGTTATTTAGCTGGACGCAGATGGAGGAACTAAGGGTCCTCGAGCTTGATCAGCAGCTCTGCACACTCCACATCACCTCTAATCACTTGAATCTGTGCAGGTTATTGTTAGAGGTTAGCAAGTATCAAAAACTATCTCATCCTAGGCCAAGTTTAACCTAGAACAACATAGTCGTATAGTGAAAATCAAGGTTGTATTCTACTCGGATCCTGGTACCCTAGCCTACTTCCCACCTAGTTGCTTATTAGTTAATCGTTTTTTTTTTTTTTTTGAGGTTTTGAGTGGAGGATATAAGAAACTCTAGTCTAAAGATTGGTCAAAGCTAAAAGCATGTACTTAGGGAAACTATCCTTTCCCTAGCTTAGGGTTACTATGCATATCTAGATACTTAGGGTCATCGAATGTAGTGAGTAAGCTCTTTATCATGGGCTTTCGTGGTTATCCACATGCCTCCGAGTACGCTTCCCCTAAACCCATGTTCTAGTCACCTCGATCTAGGCTATCGGATCTAGGGGATTAAGCTTATGGCTCATTTCAGTGGACACAATCAACCTTCCACAGTGAGGTTTCATCCCGTGTTTCATCTAGAAAGGCTACCTATAGCAGGGGTTCGGTCGCCTCGACCACTATAGGTCCCCATTCACACATCTAACCTAAACTCTCTAGTTGGCGCATACCTGGCTAACCCTAGAAATCCATACCCAGTGCGGTAGCATAAAGTAGTCTAAGAGGGAAGATTAGGGAAAATTACCCAAGAGTCATCATTTAGGAAAGAGTGGCTTTAAAATAAACTAGACAAACACATTCATTCATTCATTCAAACCCTAAAATATTCATATATACATAGTAAGGCCCAAAACTATGATTTGGGTTTTAAAAACCCTAGTACCTTAGAGAACTACTCCATAAACGAAGGAAAAAGATACATGGTAGAAATGTAGAAATAGAAGAAGACTTGGGGTTAAAGAAGATGCATCCTTGCTCCTAGCTCCTCCTTCTCTTCTCCTTCCTTCATCTTCTCTCTCTCTAGAACCAAAATTTTTCTCTCAAAATCAGGTCACTTCAAAAGGGAAAAGGGGTCTTGTATTTATAGGCACTTTGGACTCGAGAAAGTTTGCGGCCTGAGTAAGGAGATCGCGGGCGGGATCTTTGGTCTCATGGTCGTGATCTCAAAATGAAGTCGTGAGGCCTTTGGGAAGGGAAATATCGTGGGCCGACTTCACGGTCGTGATCCACTAGTGGAGTCCGCGATCTTCCTCGCGGGCAAGAAGAACGTTGATCGTGACTCGATTGGGGAAACTCTATGTTTCTCCAAGGCTCCTTCCTTGCAAAGTTCGCGTCCTGAGCCTCCAAGATCGCAGTGGCGATCTATGGCTTCTAGGATGCAATCTTCAGCTGGCTTTTGCGGCTTGTGATCTTGTCCGTGATCTTTGGCTTCTAGACCACGATCTTCAATTCCTGTCCCTTCTCTACACTTACGATCTTGTTTTGTACCTAATTCGCACTTATTGACTAACACACCCTAAAATCACATAGAAATCAAATAGGAACGCCAAGTTTATGCACATGAATTGGCATAAAACACACCTAGATATATAGGGTAAATAACACCAAGTTTGGTATTATCAAACTCCTCCACACTTATGCGTTTGCTTGTCCCCAAGCAAACATACTCAAACCTTATGGAATACGATAGACAAATCAATGAGGTATGCATGCTAGTTCTTCATTGCATACATGAGAGTATATATGGATGAATAACGCTACTACCTTTCTTTGACGTAGGAGTTCTCATTTTTCGATCTCCTTTTTCTAAGTTCATGCACATTGCACCGAACCTTTGCATTTTTTTTCTTTTCATAATAGCATCTCTCCCTCATGACCAAGAGCGGATGAATGGTAGAATTCCCTTTCAAGGTCACATGTTGGGAAGTTGATGGTCAGATTCGTCTTAGCCCAAGCACCATGTCTTAGCCTGCACTCCACATTGGGTTACCACACATGTTGGGTACAAACGAGAGCTATGAGGTCATGAATCGCTAAAAGGTACCTTTGGTCCTTAGCATACGATTGCGTGAGGAGGAGAGGTGTTTGGGGCATGGTAAATAGTGAAGGTGGTCGAGACGCGGTAAAGCTATCCGATCCACAAACACATCCTCGAAGGGAACTCCGAGCCAAGAGAACAATTCTTTAACGGTTGATCTCAATTCTTTGCCCGGTTGCCATTCACGTGAGAACATCCTTTCCTATTCTTAAGCAAAAATTGTAAAATTTCCTAGTTCACACAAAGGAGAGAATCCCACACACAATGCCTTCCTAAGGTAGTAAACATTATCGACTCACAAAAGCGAAATAAATTTGTAGAATCCCTAAAGTACCGATACTCAAACTATGCAACTATCACCTAAGATGCACCACACATCAATCAATATAATCAAGTCAAAGTAAATCGAGTAGGTAATTGCAAGGACAAGGTGTTTTGGAACCCTCAAATTTGATAAAATGGGTGCAGCATTCGAGGTTCGAAAAACACTAAAATTTCACCATTCATCACCACAACATAAAAACGATTACTAGCACACAATCCCATAAGCGTTTATCAACGTCTTACATTCACAAACGAGGGAATATACTATCAATAAATGGTTCAAGCAATCATGATAGACATTCAAACAAACACAAACATCCCCCCACACTTGAGCAACACATTGTCCTCAATGTGGGAGTTTCCAAAGAAAAGATCGTGAATGTTACCATAAATCGGGTTGTGGGTTGGTGAAGGTTCACAAGTGTACTCTTTGGTCTCCTGGTGGTTTTGTACAACGATGAAGCTCGTAAGATATAGAGGAAAACGAATAGGAGTTATAGGTACGATATATGTAATATATATATGGATGGTTATATTGTACACCAGTCAAAACCTGGTGTATGTTGCACACCAGGAAATCTCCACCGTCCACGTCCATCTCAACGGCCAGTATAAATGAAATTTTTTATTCCCAAAAAAAAACCCTGCATTAATGCTGGCCGTTGATATGGATGTGTACGGTGGAGATTGTTGGTCTACGACATACGCCAGTTTATGTCAGGTGTACGATAGAAGTCACCATATATATAAGTACTACTACTAGTGCTAGAGCAATTAAAGTACGAAAAGTAAAAAGAAAATTAAGTGATAATTAAACATTGTTTTAATTGAAATAAAAAAAAGCAAAGTAAAAGAAAATATAGAACGTAGGTCCTGGATGCCTAGAACTCATTCCTTCTCGGAGGGTCCTTCT